ATAACTCTAAGCGAGGAACACTAACTGTTTTCACAGGGGCCACACGAGATTTGGCCATGGCGAGCCTGACACAGACGGAGCCATCTTGAAGAACGTTACGGACATAAACAACGGCAGCATATGCTGCTGTTGATGCGTCGGCAAAGCCATGGAGGCTTTGACCTGTTTGGATGATCGTCGACAATTTTCGTGGGATTGACAAGTGTTTCAGCTCCGATAACTGGCGACAAAGAAATTGCCATTCGGTTTGGATTTCTTGTGGGACATAATCATCCCAATCGGACTTCAACGACCATAGTCTCTGAATAAGAATTTTTCCGGAGATTACGAAAGGGGTGATCCATCCCAGGGGTTCAAAAATTTTTGCTACTGATGAAAGGATCATGCGTTTGGTCATATGGCTGTTTGCGACAGGTTCGACTTGAACTTGGAATTGAAATTGATCAAGCCCGGGATTCCAAATCAAACCGAGGACGGACGTGCTTTCGTGGTCGTTCAGGAATTTGCCTAACGCAAGGCCGTGCTCCGAAGGATCGATGTCAGAAAGGAGTTCGGAGTGGTTACTTGCCCATTTCCTCAACGAAAACCCACCTTGAGCTAACAGGGCCGTCGTTTGGTTTCGAATTTGGAGGAGCGAAGCTATGCTGTCACTTCCGAAAAGAAAGTCGTCAACGTACACCTGATCGTTTAGGACTGGAACTGCATGAGGATACTTTGATCCCTCATCCTCGATCAGCTGTTTGAGGACACGAAGGGCCAAATAAGGTGCTGGAGTTGTGCCATAGGTTACGGTAAGGAGTTGATATTCTTCGACAGGATCTGATGGAGATTCACGCCAGAGAATTCGTTGGAAATTTACATCGTGTTCATCGACGCGGATTTGTCTGTACATTTTTGCTATGTCGGCGGAATATACGAACTGGAATTGGCGCCATCGCAAAAGAATTGATGCTAGGTCTTGCTGTAATTTGGGACCACTATGCAAGTGGTCATTGAGTGACTGACCATTGGAAGTCCTCCTGGAGGCATTGAACACGACACGAAGACGTGTTGTTTTACTGGTTTGGCGGAATACGGCGTGATGAGGGATGTAATAAACTTGGTTACTCGGTTGTTGAAGAGATTCGACTTTTCTCATATGCCCAAGAGATTGATATTCATTGAGAAACGCACGATATTCGGTCTGGAGAGTATGGTTTCGGTGAAAACGATTCTCTAAAGCGCGGAGGCTGCTTAAGGCTCCGGGCCGGGATTCGCCTAATGGAATTGGAGGCTCGCAAGTAAATGGCAATCGGACTATGTACTGACCCGTGATGTTTCGCGAATGTGATTTTCGAAAATGAGTTTCACAATTTTTCTCATCCGGTGTTAACAGGGTCGAGACTGGAAGATCCTCAAGCTCCCAGAACTTTCTGAGGTTCTGATCTAGGCGGTCAAGGATTGTAATATGGTGAAGATGGATTGAGGACTCACTTGTAGAAGAAAGAGGACCGGAAAGAATCCAGCCGAGCGTGGTGTTTTGGGCTGTGGGTGCGCACGCTGGGCCTTTCCTCACCCCCTGCAGAAGAAGCTGTCCGTAGATATCGGCTCCAATTATTAAACTGATTGGTTCGGAGCTCATGGGATCCTTATCCGCTAGATTGAGCCCTGAAAGGTGGGACCATTTAGTTGATAAGTTCGAACGCGGTGGTACATACCTCGTGAGTTTTTCAATTATGATCGCGTGCGCTGTATATGCGGGTTCGGATCTCTCTGGCGGTGTGAGAACGATTGGTGCGACGTAACGTGCAAAGGACTGAGTCTCTCCGATGCCACTAATCTTGGTAAATTGTGTCGATTTATCGAGACGAAGTAGTTGAGCTAAGGACTCGGTAATGAGTGTCGCTGCCGAGCCTTGATCGAGTAGCGCTCTTACAACAATGCACCGGCCATTCCGTGAGCGCACTCGAACTCTAGCTGTAGAAAGGAGAATGTTTGTTTTGATCGGTTTATTGGAGGCTAGATTTAAAACGTTCGTTACTTCGTGATCGGAGGCGGCGGGACTCGTCCTTTGTGCGGCATTGGAGGCGTCATTGGTATTGCGAAAATGTAACAAGGTATGATGTTTCGACTGGCACTCCTTGCAACAATGAGCGCTCTTGCATTGTGTAGTCGAGTGTGTCGATGAAAAACAATTAATGCATCGTTCTTGTTTTCGGATGATCGTGTATCGCTCCTGTGGAGTTTTTGCTAAAAAACTAGGGCATTGGTAAATGAGATGGTGCTGTTTACAGACCGCGCATGATAATGGGTTTGTTGTTGTAGCAAGTGCTGTAACTGGTTTGGAGCGACTAAATTTTGTTCTGTCATATTCGGGTTGTTTTTCGCGTTTCATTGACGGCATCGCTTCTAGCGCGTGAATTCTTTTTTCCAGAAACGCATCAAATTCGTTATAAGTTGGATACTCGGAAGTGTCACCTAAATTAAACTCCCACGCTTTACGGGTTGCGCGATCTAATTTTTGTACACCGATATAAACTATTATATCACTCCACGAGTCGACAGGCCGACCTAGGTTACGGAGCATTTGAACGGTGATATTGATTTGGTCGCGTAACGGTCGAAGTTCTGTTGACGTTTCGGACGAAATTGACGGTAGAGAAAACAACGTATTCAAATGAGTTGTTATAAGACGTCGCTTATTTTCGTAACGCGATGTGATTGTTTTCCACGCGACGGTAAAATTATTATCGGTTATAGGTAAATGGCTCACGGTTCGGTTGGCTTCGCCCTTGAACGACGAGCATAAAAAGTGTAGGCGCTCCACGTTCGACAGCGCCTCGTTGTTTATGACCATAGAGGTGAACCTGTCCCGGAAGCTCTCCCACTCCCCGAACTCTCCTTCGAACGTTGGAAGACTGATCCTGGGAAGGTGAACCGTTGGTCGTGACGTCACGGAATTTGAAGAATGTCCGTTCGCAGCTGGCGTCTCGGGTGGAGGTGCGACTCTTGAGAGCATTTCGGCCATGAAGTCGAGGGCTTCCTGGAAGTTGTCCTTGCATCTGGAGAAATGGTCTTCGGCGAAATACGGAATGCTGGCTTTCGTCTTCGGATCGACACTGGCTGCAAGTTTTGCATCCCAGTCTTGACACTGATGAAAGGCTTCCTTCAGCAGTCCTATTCGATTTTGTGTAATGGTAGCGTTCATTTTGGATTGACCCAGTTTTTTGAAATTGGCAAGCGCTCGTTCGACTGACCGCATTGCTTGTGTTTGTTTATAAAATAGTTCTTCAAGCGAACTCATGGTCGTTAACGGTTGGATTCTCTTTCAGATTAACGGTCGTTCGATTCCTTTTCCTCGACGTCAATCCGGCTCGAAGGACCAATGTTTCGGTTTGGTATGGATGATTGAAAGGATAGCTGGGATCTCTTCCAAAAAGAGTTGACGCACCGAGGAGAAATCGGATTATTGGCCGAGAGAGAAAGAGAACAGCTCACGTCACTTATTTTGTATTTCTGTACAATGGTCACACAATGAGAATTACTGCTTAATAAACACAGATCACTGACGAACAATGCACTTGTTTTTAATAAACTCCGTTTTAAGAGGCGTTAACAAATTACGGTTTGGTTTGGTATAGCACGTTTGGTCGGTTTGATTGCGAAACGGTAAGTAAATTCAAACCGTCGTGCGCACCTCGTTAGCGGTCTCGAGGTGGCTAAAACCGGCGCGAGGTAGCGCGATGGTCGTGGCACATCGGCGCGATGCTTAACCGCTACAACTACAAAAAATAAAAGTACCTGCTGAATTTCAACGAACGAATAGATCACTAACAGAGTTTCATAAATTCAAAGCCACTGAGTACCGATTTTTGTTGTTGTATGCAGGACCTGTTGTTTTTAAAAAAAATTTACGAACTGACGTCTATAGACATTTCTTACTCCTTCATACTGGTTGCAGAATATTATCGTTTAAAGAATTAGCCGTGGATAAATGCGAATCAGCTAGATTGTATTTGAAAAAATTTGTGACCAAAGCGCCATTTATATATAACAAAGAATTTGTGGTTGGAATTGTCCATAATCTAATCCATCTTGCAGATGATGTTGAAAATATGAACTGTTCTCTGTCTAATATTTCTAGTTTTCCATTTGAAAACACTCTAGGAATAATGAAACGACTTATTCGCAATGGAAATAAGCCTCTCTCCCAATTATGCCGTCAATGGAATGAAATCTCTCATAGTTGGAATGAAAAAGCGGATATTCTACCTACAATCCAAATTACTAGACAATTAATATCAAAAGAATTAGAGAGGAAAATACCAATTAAAAGAGTTCAGTATAAAGAGGCGCTTTTATCCACTACATTTCCAAACAATACAGTTTTATTGAATAGTAATGAAATCGTACAAGTGTGTAGTATGTGGAAAGATATTAAGGAAAAGAAAGGCACTTTATTCGTATCCTTGTAATTCTCACCATCTCCAAATTTTGGAATATCAGCGGTAGAATTACGGACAATATAATATTTAAAATTACCGATTGTTTTGTGCGTGATGCGGCGGGCTGGTTCGCCCTTTGCGGAAGGACTGGACGTCGAGGTTTAATTGAAGAAACAGACGTTGAACATTTATAGTTTTTAATGTATCACGAGTTCACAAAATTAAACAAACGAGCACACCGAAAATATAACAAATTAACAAATAATCACTAAACTGGTGGCGAGTTTCGCCAAAAATCGTTCGAAACTTCGGTTGGGACTGTTAAGGTCACCGTGGTAGCACAATGCTGGGTTTTGTTGTCTTTTTAAACGTTCGGAGATCGCGTAAAATGCGATCCGGCTCCGCCAAGCGTGACAAGCGAAATCGGCCGAATTTGAGCGAAGCGCGAGCACGATCGCACGGGAGCTCGCGCATGCTCGCTAGCGCGGGACATTCCAGTTTAGCCGGCGGAGAGCGCGACGGTCGACGGAATTTTCCGTACGACGAAACGGAACACACCGCCCCCCTGTTGAATGAATTCATTCAACAATCGTACTATGCAGTGATCGTAATGAGTGACGAAGTGAAATGGTGTTGACATGAGTGTGCGAATTGCGACGCAGTAAGTACAATTACATTCTAATCTAACTTAAGTCTACATTGGGTTACATCTAAGGTACAGAATAACATTGACGCTTATTTGAGGTTCGTTTCGTTCGTAGTGTCTGCGTGAATCGACACGGGAAGGAAGCACACTTTTGCCAATGGTCGTTTGTATGTGGATTGTGCGGTTTTTATCGTGACGACGCGTACGAGACCGTCGCTTCCCGGGTGGCAATCGACTATACGTCCGAGTTCCCATTTACACGGCGGAAGGTTCGGATTGCGTAGAAGTACAAGCTGGCCTACTTTGGTTAAGTTTTGAATGGTGTGCCATTTCGGGCGCTGGAAAAGCGTGTGTAAGTAGTCGTGTTGCCACGAGTTCCACAGTTTTTCGGTCAATCTCTGCAGAAGTTGCCATCGAGACAGTCTGTTTTCTTTTATGTGTAGGACACTGGGCTCAGGTTGAGCGACAAGGGGGGAGCCGATAAGGAAATGGCCTGGTGTTAAGACAGCGTAGTCTTCGAGGCAATCCGACATTTTGTCGTGGGGAAAATCTTCGAAAGACTCCCTCCCACCTCTTTGGGGAGAGGCGGGAGGGGTGTGTGGGATTCCCCGCGCCCATTATAACGGGCGCGGGACCTACCCACTAAAAACCCCACGGTGACCCTTCCGCACGATTTGGGAGGATACCGGGAATCGCTCGAAGCATACTTCCGGTATCCTCCCCGTGCCCGCGCTTTGCGCCCACCCGCGGGGGGACAAACGGTCCCCCCGGTAATCGCCCTGTCTCATAGCGGCAGGACGAGGCCACTTCGTCCTGCCGCCATCCGTCCCGGGGCCGCGTCTAGTGGCGGCTGCGAGCCCCAACTCGCAACCGCCCGTGTCCGGCAATCGTCGGCCGCAGTACGGGGCGTAGCGACCCCGAGGTACCTGAAGCTAATCACACCGTAAGCCTCCTGTTGGTCGTCACAACGATCCCACTCACAATTCCTTTTTTGGTTTTGTGAATGGTACGTGACGGCAGGAGAAGCGGGGGCCTTGGCTTAACCGCCTGGGCCAAGAGTATGGCGACTCTATAAAATCGCCCTCCAATCCTAAGCTATGGTGCGCGGCGATGGGATGCATGGTTGGGGGAGAAGGCCCAATCCCAAGCGACCACCTCCGGGGCACCTGCCGAACCCCCGGAGTATTAGGCTTACCCGGGTAAGGCGGCTCTGCCCGGGTGGACCTTTATTTCCGACCTACGCGTGGGAATTATATGGATTCACAAATTAAAACGGGGATGGGACGGGTTGTTTCGGTTGGGGAGGACGAAGACGGTGCTGGGGCTGGAGTGACGGTGCTCGCGCCTCACTCAGCGCCTGGCCTGGCTTCGTGGAAGGTGGAGGAGGACGACGAGACTGCGTCAGTCTCGTCCTTCTCCTCCACGAGGAGCCACATAGGCTCCAAGAGGAAGCGGACGGGGCAGGGCCGTCGACGGAGTGGACCGGGCGATGAACCCGGTCGTGATGGTGAGTTGCCTCAGGGACGAGGTAACCGAGGAGATATCCGAGAGGATCTCCTCGTCCCTGAGGCGGGTCGAGAAGGTTGCCGCAGCCTGCTCTCTAAAGGGGCAGAAAAGCAGCGTGGCTGAGGCCCTGCGAGAGGCTGCGCAAAATATGGGGGAGGCGGCGCAGGAGTTGTGCGGGCGAAATGCCCGGCTGCAGCTCCAGATGGAGGAGGAGCGACGGGGGAGGATGAGGGCAGAGGCGCGCTGGAACAGCGCAGCCCTCCCTCCTATCCTCCCTCCTCCTCCACCTCCACCACCACGACCCACGGTCGTGGAAAAAAAGCGGAGTGCGGCGGCGGTGTTGCGGGGACCTTCCACCCGCACTCCGCCCGCGCAGAGTTCCCCATTCTCCTCAGAGGACGAACTTCTGAGGAGGATCGGGAACATGATCGACGGCAAGCTGGCCGCCTTCCGGGAGGAGCTCCTCTACGGAGGTGTGGTCGGCGGGAAGGCGGTGCCTCCCCGACCAAGGTCGGTTCGGGCGGGGAAAGCGAAGGTGGGGGGAGGGAAGGCTCCACCCACCGTGGCCGTTCCGGTGCCGCGGGCCGCGGCCCCCCAGGGGGGTAGTTCACCCGCGGCCCCGGTGCGCGCGTCCTCCGCGGCACCATCCCAAGGGGGGGTGTCGTGGAGCGAGGTGGTAGGGCGGAAGGCAAAGAGGGCGGCGAGGAAGGCCACGCAGCCGCGACCTGCTACCTCGCCGCCCGCGGCCAAGGGAAAGGCCGCGAAGGTGCGGCCAGGGCGCCCCCCTAAAACGGCAGCAGTGACGCTGACCGTTCCTCAGGGGGGCGACCTGACACTCGCGGGGGCGATGCAGCTCGCCAGGGATAATATATCCCTGGAGGAGCTCGGCATCGCTTCCGTGAGGGCGAAGAGGGCCGTGACCGGGGGTCTCCTGCTGGAGATCCCTGGTCCAGAGGGCGGCGAGAAGGCGGACCGACTCGCCCAGAGGCTCCAGGAGCAGCTGGGCGAGCGGGGTGTCCGAGTCGTCCGGCCCACGAAGCGCACAGAGATGCGCATATGTGGGTTGGACGACTCGGTCACCGCGCAGGAGGTGTCCTGTGCCCTAGCGAGGGCGGGTGATTGCCCCGAGGGAGACGTGCGGGTCGGAGAAATCCGCAGGTCTCCTTCCGGCCTGGGGTCGGTGTGGGCCCGGTGTCCCCTCTCCGCCGCCCGAAAGGTGGCGGAATCCGGGAGGGTATTGGTGGGGTGGGTTTCGGCGCGAGTGGAGATACTCGCGCCGCGGCCACTCCAGTGTCACCGCTGCCTCGAGCTGGGGCACGTGAGGCAGTGGTGCACCTCGCCGGTGGACCGCAGCGGTCAGTGTTACCGCTGCGGGGCGAATGACCACCGCGCGAGCCAGTGCTCGGCGGCCCCCCACTGCCCGCTATGTGCGGACATGGGGAGGCCAGCCGATCACAGGGTGGGGAGCAAAAAGTGCTCTCCCCCCTCCCGGAAGGGGAAGAAGAAGGGGCCCACCCCGGTAAAAGCACCGCGGTTGCTGGCAGCGTCCACCATGGAGGTGGACGGTGCCACGGGGACGGACAGCCGGGAGGAGGCTGGGACGGCCGTTAAATAACGACGCCCCGCCTCCTCCTCCAGGCCAATCTCAACCACTGCCGCGCGGCACAGGACATGATGTCCCAAGTCCTCGCGGAGTGGGGGGTTGGCCTGGCGGTCGCCGCCGAGCCGTACCGCGTGCCGGATCACCCACATTGGGTGGGCGACGCGGACGGTTTGGTGGCGACGGTATGGGGAGGTGGCGACGGGTCCCCGCCGTTCTCCATTCTGGAGCGCGGTCGGGGTTTCGTCGCCGTGGACTGGGGGGGAGTCGCCGTAGTGGGGTTTTTTTTTGGGGAGAGGCGGGAGGGGTGTGTGGGATTCCCCGCGCCCATTATACCGGGCGCGGGGGCCTACCCACTAAAAACCCCACGGTGACCCTTCCGCACGATTTGGGAGGATACCGGGAATCGCTCGAAGTATACTTCCGGTATCCTCCCCGTGCCCGCGCTTTGCGCCCACCCGCGGGGGGACAAACGGTCCCCCCGGTAATCGCCCTGTCTCATAGCGGCAGGACGAGGCCACATCGTCCTGCCGCCATCCGTCCCGGGGCCGCGTCTAGTGGCGGCTGCGAGCCCCAACTCGCAACCGCCGCGACCCCTTTTCTACCCCTCGGAGGCCGGCAGCTCATGGCCGCACCAGGCCACCGAGGGTGCCGCTCCGTGCGCCGGAGCCGGACAGGAGGCACTGCCACCCCATCCGGTCCGACCCTACGCCGCCTGGCGGGAGGGGGCTCCTATCAGGACCCCCCTCCCAGCCTGGGTCATGCGCCACGCCGAGGGGGCCGCCCGCGTCGCCTGACGCCCAGGCGACGCTCTCTCGCCACCAAACGAGCGCGAGCCTCAGCGCGCCGCTGACGCTCGCGCTCCCTTCCCGCGGTCTCCTTCTGCAACATTACGATTTCGCAGAAGGAGGCCACGGCCCTCCACTTCTCCTCGCTGCCGAGCATGGCGCGCACCATGCCCGGCAGCGAGACATCCCGCCCGATGACGCCGATCAGGACACGGCGTTCACCCTCCCATGCAGCGCATACCTCGAGGGTATGTTCCGCCGTGTCCTGCTCAGCGTCACAATGGCAGCAACGCGCCGTCGGCTCCTTCCCTATCCGGCACAGGTATCTCCCGAAGCTGCCATGCCCCGAGAACACCTGTGCCATCCTGTAAGTGAGGCTTCCATGGCCTCTGTCCAGCCACTCACATAGGAGTGGCCGAACAGCCCCGACTGTCCGGTGCCCCGCGGTAGGCAGAGCCAACCGCTCTTGCCACGCGTGCACCACGGACTGCCGGGCCTGGCGCTTCAACTCGCCCCAAGCAGGTTCCTGCACACCCGGGACCGCCCCCACCCCCGCGCGACGGTCGACGCGGTGACGATACATCATCGCGTGCGACCGCGCGAGGAGATCCATGGGCGGCATCCCCGCAAGAACCGTCGCCGCCTCATGTGACACGGTCCGGTACCCGCGGACGACCCTTAGAGCCATCCGCCTCTGCACCCGACGCAGCATAGTCATGCCGCGCCGGGAGGCCGCCAGGTCGTCCGCCCAGACGGGGGCCCCGTATAGGACCACCGACTGAACCATTGCCACATAGAGGCGGCGAACTCGGCCCGCCGGGCCCCCCAGGTTGGGCAGAATCCGGCCCAAAGCCCCGACCATCCTCTCCAGCCGGGGGACCAGGCAGCGGAAATGCTCCTCGAAGCGCCAGTGGCTATCGAGGATCAGCCCCAGATACCTCATCTGGGGCTTCACCTCGATATTAGCCTCACCCACGCGGATCAGAGGGGGTGGCGGATCCTGCCGAGGTGAATGGAACGCTATCACCTCGGTCTTATGGACCGCCACCGTCATCCCCATCCCTCTGATCCGGTCGACGACGCGTTGCGCCCCCTCCTCCGCGAGACGCTTGGCCCTCCCCCAGTGCGCCCCGACGGCCAGCACCAGTGTGTCATCTGCATAACACACGGCGCTGACGCCGTCGGGGAGGTCGGCCCGCAACACTGCGTCGTACGCGATGTTCCACAGGAGTGGCCCGAGGACCGACCCCTGCGGAACACCGCAGTACACCTCCCTCCGCATATGCCCATCCCGGCTCGGATACTCGATCCACCTGCCGCGGAGATAATCCCCGATGACCGCCCCGAGACAAGGGGGGACCCGATGATATTCGAGCCCCCTCCTTATCTCCTCCCAGGGCAGGGTGTTAAAGGCGTTGGCAATATCCAAGGATATTGCCAAAGCCACCCCTCCCCGGGAGACGGCCGACTCCGAGAGGGCCCTGACACGACCTATCGCGTCGATGGTCGATCGACCCTCCCGGAAACCGTACTGGCAGTCGGCCAGGCCGGGGGCACCCCGCGCCAGGTGCTCGACGAGGCGGGCAGCAATCACCCGCTCGAAGAGCTTGCCCACCTCGTCGAGGAGACAGATGGGCCGGTATGC